TATTTTAACTAATGTTGAGTTAAACAAGTGATAAACTGGTTGAACAACATTAATTCTCTGCCAATGTCCTTGTTTTTCTTTTAGTTTGAAGTCCTTTACAGTATGACTGAAGAATTGAATGGTAATTAAAATTTTCATAAGGCATTAAATATGCAACTTTCTATATACGGAGGTATCAAGTTATTTTTGTAGTTTGGGCTAAGCCAATAACCTATCAATTTAATTGTATATGGTAATCATGGCATCTAAAAAAATATGACCTTAGTTTCTGGTGAGAGTCGTGTATAGGAAATTAACTGGTGAGATATAATCTGATATCCATCTTAGTTTTTGAACTATGGAGTCTCTTATAGTAATAATCTTTACCAATAAAGAAACTATAGATTTTACTGATAGCAAAAGCTTCTTGATGTCTTAGACCAGGTAGCTAGATGTGTGACTTAATTTCTGTTGAATCATATATTTTGTTCTAACAGAAATTCTGGTAAGGAGTATGTTTGAAGTGCAAAGATCTAATGATGTATTTTGTGCCTTTATGTAGGACAACTGAAACTTATATTTGGTTGCAGCAGTGCCACTTTTTATGCTTTCTCTTTGATAACTCGCTATTGGCAAACTTTGGTTTCTCAATCTTCTTATTTTAGCTGAAATGCGTTTTTACTTTATTATTGTTGTTAATGTTTTTATTAAGGATAAAAAGTCTTGGTCTTCCGTCACTAGCCATGTGTGTCATCCTTCTTTCTGGTACAATCAAACAATGTTTCTCTGTGCAGGATAAAGACCTTTAACCAATCTTCTTGCTCTTTGATACCGTGATAAGTTATTGAGTGCTTATTATTTTAAATATTTGTAAAAGATATATTTCTCTAATTATTTGTTCTCCTTAGAGATGAAATCATTAAGGATAACAAGACTGGGATTCCCTCTAGGTGCTTTCATTGGTAAGTTTGAGATTCCAGTAAAACCATGGCTACAAGTATTTACAGTGAAATGTTGCATCTCAATTCCAGAAAAACATCCGTTGCAATTCACCTACTTGTACCTTGTTTAGTTTTTGCAGGAATAGATTTTGACTGCGTCGTTCCTGTGCAAAGTATGGTCGAGATAAAAGATGAATGCAGTATTCTTTTTGCAATAGATAAGTGGTTGTCTTGTTCAAATTAGATGTCTTAGTTAAGCGCCTTACATTACAAGCCAGGTTCCAAGGGAGCTCTTGGAACAAGTTGCTCGGGAGGCCTTTATTATTATATCGTTCTTGATCCATTTTGGGGTATGTTTATCTTTCGCAACTAAGCAATATAGTGGTGCTGTAACAATTGTTGTTCTATACTACTAATATATTTTTCCTAATAGGTTCTTTGAATATCACATTATATTATACGGAGCTTACTCTAATTTGTGTACTGCATGTGAACATATTCTTTGATGAGATTTAATAGTTGAAAATATTAACCGGCAAATATAATGTTAGATTGAATGAAGGTTGCTCGAGTATTAGATAAAGATGAATGTATTATCTCACTTAGTAACAATCACCAAATCATCTTAATCTATATCCCCATGTGCCCGTGCATCACGGGCATTACTTGCTAGTGTATCCATACGTTAGAAACTCAAAGATGCTTATTAAAGTATTATTTTGAAATATTAATATTATTTTTCAACAGCATTTTCGAATACTTCAACTCTATGATATTTTTCTGCGAGTCCGCAACTAATACTACGAGATTCCACTGAACAACAGAACAAGACAACATCTTGATGCCCCACCACCAGAGGCGGACCTACATGGAGATGAGAGGGTCACCGAAACCCGCTAGCCTCGGTAAGAATCGTGTATATATATATTTGTATATACATCAAGGATCTCTCAAATAATTTTGATGTGCCCCCTCAAGCAGAAAAGCTGAACAGCTCCGTTGGGTTTACAAGTTGCATTATGTCCTCCCTCACTAGAAGACTTGGGTTTGAGACCCAACACTAGTTCTCTTTTTTTTATTTGTTTTTCTCTTTGAATTCAACATAGTGTAGTATCCTGTATATATTCCATTAACGAAAAGCCAATCACCTTCTTTATCGTTTTTCTCTTTGAATTCAACATAGTGTAGTATCCTGTATATATTCCATTAACAAAAAGTCAATCACCTTCTCTATCCTTATATCTAAGTTTATAAGTATTATCACTTTCTTGACATGTATAAAATTAAGTAATTCACCAAAAATTTCCCAACAGTAATTAAAAACTCCAAAAATCCTTCTGCTTTCGAGGATCACTTCGGCAAAGTAGCAAACATCTATCGATTCAACAATAGTGACTGACACTCTACTTGGATTGCTTAATAGACCTTTAATCTTGATCTTATTTGGCTAAGTTTTTTTATTTATATTTTTGAACATTCTTTAGGTTACTGACTCAAATTCATTAAGTTTTCAAGGAGCTAGTGCGCCAAATTTTATTGTTATTAGCTGACATATCTATGTCAAAGATAGTAGTGCCCACGCTGCGCTCAAATCCTGGGTCCGCCTCTGCCCACCACAACTACCTCCAGAAAATTACAAAAATGGTAGATTACGTGTGGGGGTAGAGGAGTATGTTTTTACTATATAGGTTTTGATTTTTTAGATTTTTCAATCATATTATTTTTTAAAAAGATTTAATAAACGTGATGTTAGATTTAAACAAGAATTTAGAAAGAAAAAAAACTACTCCCTCTGTTCCAGTTTATGTGAACTTATTTTCTTTTTGGTCCGTTCCAGAAAGAATGAACCCTTTCTAAATTTGGTAACAATTTAGCTTAAACTTACAATTCTACCCTTAATGAGAAGCTTTTTACAACCACACAAATACTCTGGCCCCTTTTTGCTTTGTTTAGGACCACAAATTCCAAAAGTCTTCATTTTTTCTTAAACTCCGTGCCCAGTCAAACGGGTTCACATAAATTGGAATGGAGGGAGTAATATACTAAAAAAGTCGTGTTGAAGCTAAAAAATTGCAACATCAAAAATTGCATTGAATACTAAAATAATAGGAAGTGAACCTAAAAAACTCGACAAGAAAAAATGAACAACCTAAAAAGCTGCATCGAATAATTCCTCGGGTCCACTTTGATTGATTTTTTGCCTGTTTTCACATATATTAAGGAATCTATCTTTTAGCATTAATTAACAATAAAATTGATCATATTAACCTTAATTTGTTCATTAGGAATACAACAAATACCCCTAGACTCTTTATTCCAAAGGCAATATGAAAAGAAAAAAAAGTTAATTCCTATTTGAAAAATATCAAATATTACGGATCACTAAAAAAGCCAAAAAATCAATTAACTTGGATGGGAAGGAGTACCAAAATAAACCAAAAATAGCACAAAAATAACGATATTTGGTCATTTTCTCACAAAACCTCTTTTCTATAGTTTGCATTACGAAAGGACATGCAACAACAATCCAAACAAGCTGTTAACTCAATAGAAACCATATTTGGTCATTTTCTCACAAAACCTCTTTTCTATAGGTTGGCTTTATATCTATCTTGCAGTAGAGATCCATCTCCATTTCTCTCTTAGAGTTCGTTTGGATTAGCTGATTGTAAATAGGTGATAAGCTTGAAGTGGTGAAAAGTTCTTTTAAGTGTGAAACTGATAACTAAAGTAAGCATTTACCTGTTTGGATAGAAGTGCTTTGGATAGAAGTGCTGAAATTGATAATAAGCAGTTGATGTGTTTGATTAAAAAGTGTTGATAAGCTAATCTTTTTGTTAAAATAACTAAAATACCCTTGAATTTGTTCCAGAAGATTATAAATTAAAAATTTCTTTTTAAGGAAAAGAATTAACAACGAATATGGAATGAAGAAAAGGTCAAGAAATTTATTTCTGGGAAAAATATTTTGCGAATTAGAAAATATTATTAAGGATAAACTAGTAAAAGTTTTGGTCAAACTAAAAGTGCTTATAAGTTGAAAAGCCATAAGTTGGGGGTGACCAACTTATGACTTATGACTGATTTTAGCTTATAAGGGGTGTTCAAAACCGAACCGAAATCGAAAACCGAACCGAAACCGAAGCTTAATGGCTTATTGGTACCGGGTTAACGGTTTAACGGACGGGGAACAGATTGAAATTTTTTCATTAACGGCTTATCGGTTTGGGGGCGGTTATTCAATTTTCTTAATGGATAATCCGTTAACCCGTAAGAATATATATATATATATATATATATATATATATAAAAATTATTTTTATCCATATATATATTAAATATCAAAAATCCTTCCAATTCTGTCTTTCACTCTTCCAGTACTCTACCTCTAAGTTCTAACGCCTAATTCCTAAATAATCAGAATTATGAAAACTATGTAACATAATCCTTGTTAATTACTTTACAAAAGGCGGAAAGTTCATATATAACGCAATTAGTAAATTTATATTTTACAAAGTAATTACCGGATGAAACACCGGTGCCTCCAGTAAGTGGACACCCCCTACTCTGCCAAAGAGTTCCTTGCGTAAAGTTCTTGTCAAATTTATGGTAAATGACAAAGTAAAAACCAACATGAAAAGTCATATAGGTACAATATTTATATTAGTAACTGCTTAATTTGTAAATTTGTATGCATCTAAAAGAAGTAGAACTAAGTTGAGACACAGTGATATAAAACAAATATTCAACATATGAAGTGCATGGAAAGGCTTCTGCTTAAGTGCTATAACAGCATAATATATTCTTAAAAGTCATATATAAAAGTGCTTCGTATGTAGATTGAATTAGACCGATAAACCGCCCGATAACCGCCCGATAAGAGCTAAACCGATACCAGTCCGCGCGATATCTTATCGGGTGGCTAGCGGATTAATACATTTAAAAGCCGATAACCGATAAGACAAATCGTTAAGAGTAAATAACTGCCCAATCCGCCCAATAAGTAGCCCAACTTATAAGCACTTGGCTTATAAGCCGTTTAAATATTTACCAAACGCATTAATAAGCCAAAAGATGATTATTGACATCTTATAACCTTAGTCAAACACCCTCTTACTTTTCTCCTTCCACTCCTCTCCATATCTGCTAAAATTCATAATTCAAAGGGGAAAGGAGGTAGCAAAGGAGAGCGTAAGCATGGAGGAGAACGGTGAAACAACAAGATGGAATTTTAAAGAGAACGAGAACTTGTTGGCTGCGTCTGGTGTTTCCATAAGAGGGGTTCTTAACAAGTTAATGCAGAGCCTTGACCCTTCTGATACCCGACCCGCTATCCCTCTCGGTCACGGCGATCCTTCTGCTTTCCCCTGCTTTCGGACCACTCCCGTTGCCGTAGACGCTATTTCTGATTCCGTTCGCTCTGCTAAGTTCAACGGTTATTCATCCACAGTCGGCATTCTTCCTGCTAGAAAGTGAGTACTATTTGCTTTACTTGAATTAATAATCTGTTTGCCTTTATATCATTTCTCCGCATGTTGACTTTGTTGTTGACCTTGATGTGTTAGCTGATTGTACTACTCTTTTTAGCTAATGGTCACAGAAATTGAATGTAACTTTTTATTTTGTATTATTAAGTGCTTTGATTTTTACATACATGCTTTTAATATCCCACAATTATAATTCAGGACTAATTTATACCATATGGGAGGTGGGATAAAATAATCTCAAGTTTGATGGGATAAGATGGGATATTAGGGATTAAGTCCGGGATTAAAATACCGCCAACCAAACACGGTATAAATTTAATCCCACCTTATCCCTCGTACTAAACTACAATGTAAGTGGTCCATTACATGGCATTTCCTTTCTATTTTTTGTTGGTCCTAGTGACGGAGTCAGTAATTTGTATAAGGGGATTAAAAAAAATACTGGAATATCGTAGTTAAGATTTGAACGAGCGACGTATAGCAACTTCTGAACCCCCTCTACTGCTACATTAGAAATTTCATTCTATGTAAAAGGAATTCAACCATTTATGTATAACCAAAAAAAAAAATCAATTTTCCTGGTTTGTGCAGCACAATTTTTCGACAAAGGGGATTCAATTGAACCCCCTTCCCTCTTACTAGCTCCGTCCCTTGGCTGGTCCCCAGTCTCTTTCGACAGAGAGCCTTCCACCTCTGTCATATAGTTCTTGCACTCGCGCAACAACAACTCTATGTATTGGTTGTAGACATTAGTCTTACTATGTTCTACATTGTTGGCGCTATGAAGCAAGTATGGAGCTAGTCCACTTAAACATTTACCCCTAAGCAAGAAAACTATCAGCATTCTTTGAACAAACCAAAGGAACATGACTGACTGATTCATGGAAACATCATTGATTTTCTTCAAATTCAGAAAAATTCATTAAATTCTTTTTTCTCTGAAAAGGGCTGTAGCAGAATACTTATCTCAAGATCTTCCAAACAAGCTGTCCCCTGATGATGTTTACCTGACAATTGGATGTACTCAAGCAATTGAAGTAATTTTGAATGTTCTTGCACGCCCAAATGCAAATATTCTACTTCCGAGGCCTGGTTTCCCTTATTATGAAGCACGGGCTGTTTTTAGCAATCTTGAAATGCGTCACTTTGATCTTCTCCCAGAAAGTGAGTGGGAGGTGGACCTTAATGCAGTTGAGTCTTTGGCAGATGAAAATACTGTTGCTATTGTCATTATTAATCCTGGGAATCCTTGCGGCAATGTCTACACATACCAACACTTGAAGGAGGTATGTATGCATATCCTTTTCTTTGGTAATATTGATACTTTGGGTCATTATGATTGTAACGAAGTGGTTAATTTTCTTCAGGTGGCAGAGATGGCAAGGAAGCTTGGGATTTTAGTTATCGCTGATGAAGTTTATGATCATCTCACTTTTGGAAGTAAACCATTTGTGCCTATGGGAATCTTTGGATCGATTGCACCTGTTATTACACTTGGATCCATATCAAAGAGGTGGATTGTCCCTGGTTGGCGACTTGGTTGGCTTGTTACAAATGATCCAAATGGCATACTAAAAAAACATGGGGTACTTACTCTCCTTTGAAAGATGGTCATTCTGTACTTTTTCACAAATGTTTATTTCTCTGGAAAAAGTAATTCTAGCTTCCACTTTTAAAGCCAAATATCGGTATTGAAGTGCACTTTATATTTAGTGCCATCAAAAGTAGATTAGGGTATAAAGGAATGTAGAAGTATGTTATAGGGGGCTTTATTCCACTTATCTTATAAGATCTTTGATCGAGAGAGGATAAGATTGTTTTTATCACGAACAATATCTGCATATTATCACTTTGTGTTTTCTTATTTGCAGGTCATAGACTCCATCACAGGGTTTCTCAATATATCTTCTGACCCTGCAACCTTTATTCAGGTTTTCTCATTATATACTCGTGTCTGCTTGCCCTTTTTTGAAAATGAAATGCCTGTTATTCCTTTTAGCCTCACACTTGCTGTATTTTTCCACCTGAAATATGAAATGGAGATTCTAAAGGAATGAAGTTTGTTTTGGTCTAACAGCTCTTTGTATTATTTTACACATTTCACGTTTTTATGTTTATAAGCAAATGGAATAGATGTTTAAGAACTTATTAGTATAGATGTATTTTCCACATTTCTTATTGAGGTATTTGGTTTTTTTTGTTCTTCTCCACCCCCTCCCACCCCTAATAGTTCCTATTTTGACAGGGAGCAATTCCTCAGATCATTCAGAATACAGAAGATGATTTCTTCTCTAAAATAGTAAATATGCTAAGAGAAACTGCAGAAATCTGTTACGACAGAATCAAGGATATACCTTGCATCACTTGCCCAAGTAAACCTCAAGGATCTATGTTTGTGATGGTAAGAGAAAATGGAAGCTTAATTTGCGGTTAGTTTGGGATTTGAAGATATAATTAATATCTAATGGAGCTCTTTTTCGCCTCTTAGGTCAAACTTCATTTGAACCTTGTAGCAGACATTGAAGATGATTTGGACTTCTGTCTCAAGCTGGCTAAGGAGGAGTCTTTGATAATTTTACCAGGTAAAAGAACAAGCAACTCTTATAAAGCACCAAACTCTGTCAAAGACAGTAGACATGTTTTACAAAATGTCTCTTTCTTGGTTTCTCATACGCTTTTAGTCGTTAGAGCTTTCGTATTCATGGGTAGTAATGTCATCTGATTTTTTTTATTTTATCAAACAAGCCTTTAATTTGGTCCAATTCAGAAAGATCCTGCAGTACGAACTGAAATCACCATATTATATGAATGTAACATAAGTTGCATGAATTTGTACTCAAATTAGTAGGATGCTATGTCGTATAGACATCTGACAATAAGATGTGGTGCAGGTGTTGCTGTGGGACTCAAGAATTGGCTCAGGATAACCTTTGCATGTGAACCATCATCTCTGGAAGATGGCCTCAAGAGACTAAATTCTTTCTATCAAAGGCATGCCAAAAAACAATAAGCTACTCTTAGAGGGAATCTTGATATCTCTGCATTAAGGGAAGTCTTAGATTCAATCCAAGAATCACTAATGAGATCTTCAACTAGTCGTTGGATCTTGTATGATGTATGGTAGCTCATAAATAAGTTAGATTTTCAACAATTTCCTTGAATCATCAAAGGAATGTAATATGTTATTCGGAATGGTATCTGGTAGTAAGTACTATAGATAGACAATAGCATTGATCTCCAAACTCCAGCTTACTGTTAATCGAAATATTAACGTACTCGCATTGCCAACTCCAGCTATTCGTGCTTTTCTTTAGTAGTCATTGTCTTTGCTTAACCAGTAGTAATATCTACTACATCTTTATTAGATCGTAAACAGAAGATTATGTGTCCAATACACCAGATTTTACTTACGAATACGCCATTCATGTGGGGTCTTATTGTCTCATTTTAAGGCGTAGTTGTGAACAATGACTGTCCTGCATTCCCCAATACTCTTCTCTGTTAAAAAAAAACTTAAAAAAAAAGAATATTGACTGAGGTTTAGGCTTATAAAGTATAACAAGAATCGACTTATAATTTTATACAGCTAAAAAAAAGAACTAAAGCTAATGAATATATTACACCCTTTCAAACTATTGAAATTTTGGTAATAAGACTATACGGCAAGACGTCGAGATAAATTCTTTTTCAGTTGATTCTTTCCGCTAATTTTTTATTTGAATGTAAGTTGGTGGATTTGACTCTGTCACATAAGGTAAAAATTGTAGGGGTAGCCACTATTTAAAGTGGTATTTACTTTTTATCCAGCAAAAGTAGTCACTAGTTTATTAACATTAATATGAAAGGACGTTGTTACCCTTTCCTTCCCAAACGGAAATACAGTGGTACCTGGGCCTGGATCAACAGCATCCATTAACCCAAATGAGGTTCCTGCTCCATCCCATTAAAACTGTAAAACCCAAAACTTTCCTCTGTATCACATAAACCCTCCCTTCTGTTTCCCCATACTTCATATTTTTCGAGTCGTTGAAAACTGTTTCCTTTGAAACTGATACTCCAAATGATTCTTCCGATAAATCCAGCAAATAAATTATCCTTTAAACGCTGCATTAAAGATGGAAATTTAGTAATTGTATACGAAAGACATGATACAATGAAAGCAGTAAAAGTCAGTGAGGATGGTGTTCTGCAGAATCGGTTTGGTGCATCCAATTTCAAAAGTTAAGGACACTTGGTCCTGAACTTAGAATTACAAGTTCAAAAGTTAAGAACACTTGGTCCTGAACTTCCTGAAGTCCTGAACTTAGACTAACAAGCTCAAAAGTTAAGGACAATAGGTCCTGAACTTAGGCTAAGAAGCCCAAAAGTTAAGGATAATAGGTCCTGAACTTAGACTAACAAGCTCAAAAGTTAAGGACAATTGATCCTGAACTTAGACTAACAAGCTCAAAAGTTAAGGACACTTGGTCCTGAACTTACAGTTACAAGTTCAAAAGTTAAGGACACTTGGTCCTGAACTTAGACTAACAAGCTCAAAAGTTAAGGACAATAGGTCCCGAACTTAAACGTACAAGTTAAAAAGTTAAGGACAAGTAGTCCTTAATTTAGAGTTACAAGTACATAACTTAAGGACAGGTGGTCCTGAACTTCGAGTTTCAAAAAAGTTAAGGACATATAGTCCTGAAGTCCTCAACTTAGAGTTGCAAGTTCAAAAGTTAAGGACATGTAGTCCTGAACTTAGAGTTGCAAGTTCAAAAGTTAAGGACACTTGGTCCTGAACTTTTATGAACAAAGGGTGTTTTCGTCCGGGCAGGTAAAGTTTATTAAAGCAGTGGCTAAAGACTAAAGATATTTTAAACAGTGGCTTAAAAGTAAATACATGTTGTTATTAGTGGCTAACTGTGCACTTCTCCCTCACATAAGTCGAGCTGGGCTCGGCTCAAAAATAAGTTGATCCGAGCTCAAGTTAGAAGACTGCTGAGCTCGGGCCAGCTTGATTCCTGATTCTAAAGATTTCGATGGTTAATTAATTGACGGGTTACGGAAATAGTTGAAGCCATACCCAATCGAAAAAGGATGTTAGGAGCTGAGCTTGTAATCTATTGAAAAAGGGAAAAAAATACTCATACTTAATGTGTAAAGTAGTGATTGCAAAATCAGTATGTTTTTCACTACACATAATTTCATTTAATTTTGATTAAGTGGCTTATATGTCCAATTTTTTATAAAAATATCCCGTGCGACTAAATTTTATCAAATAGTAGCCTCGAAAAAGTTGGTGAAATTGTATTTGTAATCTAATAATAATAATGTCAGTTTGTGGGTACTTGGGTTGTCAAAGTGATGGACACGCGCTTACCTAATCAATGAGTAACACTGACTCAGAGTCCAGTTCAGTAGTTTGGAGTTAACGAACGATTGCGTTGACTTTGGTCACAAATATATCTTCAGGCTATGTCACAAACTTACTCCAGAACTAAAATGTGGTTCTTTTGGATTCAAAATATTTTTTTTTACGTAAAAATAAAAATTTACCATTCTATATAAAACGCGGTTATGAATCGCATTTTACCTTAACGGCCGTTTGGGACGTTAAGCGCGGTTTATTATTGCGTTTTATATAAAACGCAGTTAAATACTGCGCTTTACTGGAAGCTGATAAGACAGCTATATAAAGCGCGATTCACTACTGCGTTTTATATAACATACCACGTTTTACATGTTTAGTGGGCCCACCAATAACTCTTATGCGCTTAACTCACATAACAATAATTCAAATATGTAAAACGCCCTTTTAAACTGCGTTTTACTTCCAAAAATTTGACCTCCCCCCCCCCGGATTGGGCATTGCCTTATATAAACGCGTTAAGGATTTTGAGAAAAATCGTTCAGAAATACTCCAACTTCGTGATAAATTTTTCTTGTTGTTAAATTCTCAAGCTTTTTTCATAATGTCTGAAGAGCGAAAAGTAATGGTTTCATTATATTGGGGGGTGAGGTTGTGGTTGCGAATAACTCAGTGAGCTATAGTTTATCTCCACAGAGTCATGTTAAGTTGCCACTTACAATGGAGTACGATAGACTGATATCGTTGTTGTGCAATAAAATGAGGTTGAGCAAACGTTCGGTGAATCTTAAAATAACCGGAAGATATCCGTATTCTGTGACTCCACAAGGGGTTGCTTGTTACGCTGAGTTTAACATCGAGGATGATGAAACTCTGAGAGATTTTTTGGGGACTCCGGATGAATACCGGGAACTTATTTTGATAAAAATATTGGAAATGTACGTGAAGGTTGAAGACGTTCGCAATAATAATGTTGCGCAAAGCAGGGATAATCCTCAATCATCGGGTGGTTATTCTGGAGCAGTTTTAGCCCACAGGTTCCGGCTGAAAGAGTTTGGCCGGATCTAAACTTATCTCCGCGGGCGAACGAGGAGCGTGGAAATAATTTCTCTCCTACTTTACATAATCCACAAGACGACTGGTAAACTTTAATTTTCCTTTGTGTTACGATGTTTATTTTTGTTGTATTGAATTTGCATTAACACTCATATATTCCACAAGGGGTACCGTCCAGATATGAATTTTACAAGTTATGAATATGCGTAGTTTTGATGTGTTGGATCACGATGGTCCATCCGAGAGTCATCACCAACAAGATATTGTCCATCATGGCACTTGTAAGTGAAGTATATAGCTATATGTAAAGTATTTATCAATTTGAGTAGTTTATCATTTTGTTGTTTGTGCAGTGAAAACGAGCAACTTGATGTCCTGACCTCACTCAGTTGCCCATAGACGACGTATTTACTCGGGATTTGGCAGATGCACAGAGTCAGGAAGATAATAGTGATAATGACAACAATGCCGATGAGTTTGGAGATGACACACCCTTCCTTGACGAGGGTGATGAGGAGGAGGAAGCGAATGTCGAACCTGAGCTAACGAGGGAGCATGCTCCACCTCCCGTTAGACCAAGAGTGTACGAGTTCCGCGTGCCGTTTCATTCCAGGAATATTCCCTACCTTGATAATTTGCCAAGTATGCCGGATGTGGATGCCCTCACAAGGGATCTTGACAAAATTCGATCAGCAATATGGGATGAGTCTAGACCAACGGTGCTGGCAAAGGGCATGTATTTTCCCGATAAAGCTCGCATATCCAGGCTTGTAAAATGTACAACGTAAGAGAGTGTCGTGAGATGATGGTATGGGAGTCAAGTCCGGAGGTATACAAGGTTGTTTGCCGTAGACGGTTTACGGGTTGTCACTGGATGCTGCGTGCGACCAAGAAGGAAATAGGGTTGTGGAAAGTGGGTAAATATATTGGCATCCATGTTTGTGAAATGGACACATTCAATGGGAATCACTTCAACTTGGATGTTGACTTGATTTCTCTTGTCTTGATTCCACACTTGGAAGTGTCCATTAGGTACAAGATCAAAGAGTGTATTACATCCGTCCACCAGGAATATGGGTGTACTATTACCAAAATAAAGGCATATCTCGGGCGCAAACGTGCATTTGAAATTGTTAATGGTGACTGGGATAAGTCATTT